TGCGTGTGTCCGACCTTTCCGCGGTGTTCCTTGTACAGCAAGTCCATCGTGTTCATGAACTTGGGGTGCGCGATTCGCGCTCGGATCGCCTACGGATCATCACATGTATGATCACATATCGAAGGGAATGTACAGTACCTTGCCGCAGTTCTTGACAATAGCCTCGGTGAGATGCATTTGACAAACCTGTACCTAGAGTTATTGAATTGAAATGCAGCTTGCGTGTATTCGTCGGTGTTGTTATTGTCGGTGGAGGGTTGTCAGGGTGAACCCCTCCTGAATCCATTTTTTCGGTCAAAATTTGTACCAGTATTAGTACTTTCAGCCAAATATGCGACATGCTGGATGTAACGTTACGCTGAGTTTTATTGGTGTAAATTTGCTTCGAAACAACCAATTAAAACGTACTTGAAGTAAGGGACATGGGTGGTCCCTAGTACAGTATCACTTTCCATACAAATTCCTTGATATCCTTGAGTGCAACTTTCGACCACTGGGTGGCTTCCAAAACCGACTCAAATAATTTTGAGTCATCCGGAATTAATATTCAATTCGATCGTCTTTCTTTGCGGAGACTCCTCAAATATCGTCTCAGCAAAGAAGTACGCCTGGGGTCTGAAATCTCCTGTAGATTTCAGAGTAGTATAATTTAATTCATATTGTTCTATTCCACGATGAAGTGGCGGGCTCTCATGCTGCTTGCCCACCACGATGACGACTCCGATTGCGACGAACATGACATACTCATGCTGTACAGAGCTCGTGCTGCACTGAAAGTGAGGCATTACTTAACCTCTCTGTCGCTACCTGGCACCACACCGAGCTCATGGACAGCTATGTATGCAACACGTGATCGCAGCACCTTCATTGCTGTAGTGTCTTTGGACCCCGACGCGTTCTGCTTGTGGCGTTCTCCATGCACTATGAGTTTGGCCATGCCAAAGGACGAGGCGGATGACCGCCCAAGTCCAACATTGACCGTACGAGTGTACAACCAACGATACTGTAGTCGTCTGCGATAACGTTGGATGGGAATAAAGAAAGCAACCAACAACTGATATAATGCATTACAGTAGTACTACTAGTATGTAACAACGAGTTGGTACAGTTGTCCTCCAAGGTTTGCTCCTAGTCAAAACGAAATTCCCGTATAAAACAATGCCATATAACCTTTCAAGGGTTGATTCAATTCGATTCGAAATTAAAAAGGATCAAATAGATTCAAATGCTATTTGGCGAAATGACTCTCAAGTCCAAATTTGGGTGAAATGTACTCCGGAG